GGAGCCCGATGCCCTTGAGTGACCCTCCTGGGAACAGGCCCCTTCCCCAGGTCCCTTTGTGTCACCCCAATAAATGACTCCTGCTGAGGTTATATGGACTCCTGTGTCTACGATCCTCGAGACATCAGCATCCCCAGCTCTGTGAAGGGCCCAGCAAAGGGCAGGTCTGGAGAGGGGTGCAGGACTGCCCAAATTGGAGCAGGGCCCTGCCCTGCCACGCGCTGCCCAGATTCTCCAGGCCCCCCAAGGCTGAAAGGAGAGCTGCTCTGCTCACTGAGACCCCCTCTGTGGCCCCGTCTTCTCCCCCTCAGAGGGGGCAGCAGGGGCCTGGGGACTGCGCGGACCCCTCTACTCTGCACTCGGGAGGCCCCAGCCCCTTCCTGCCAACCCAGTGCAGCTAGGCATGGACCGGGGCTCCCAATGACTTTAGCACCCATCCCGCCAGGCTCTGGCTATCTTGGAAAGGAGAGTGACAGCAGCCCGGCATTGGCAGCCAGCCAGAAGGAATCTCTGATCTAAATCTAAATCCTGATCTAAATTCCACTGAAATACTGGTCTTAGCTTCCCAAGCAAGACTTGCAGGCAAGGCTGTCCCTAGAGTCAGCTGAATTGGGGTGACTGCCCCAGGCCCCACACTTTGGGAGGCCCTGCAGAGCCAGGCAGAGTGGCCGTGACCCCTCCCACAGGGCCGCCTGGTGCTGGTGGCTCTACCGTGTGCCACAGAAGAAGTGCGGAGACCCCCCAGGCATGGGGGAGACCCCAGCCCACACCCTGCCTTTGCAGGGGTCCCATGAGGTGTTAAGGAGCTGATTGATTTACCCCACTAGGGTCAGCCCTGCTTGCAGGGGCCACACTTCGGAGGAGCACTAACACCTAAACGAAGGGTATTTGTACCCGAAAACTTGCAAAGAATTTTTCCAACTATTTGAGTCGGTCTAATAAAAGGTACCACATTTACCCAAGGAACCTTGCCTGCCTAACACCAAAACAGGGGTGTAGGCTGTAGCCATGTTGGTCCAGGGACATGGGCAGGCAAGGTTCTCTGGGTAGATTCATAGATTGTTAGGGGCTGGAAGGGACCTTGTAGATCAGGGGCGGGCAATTATTTTGGGCAGATGGCCATTTACCGAGCTTTGGCAAGCTGTCAAGGGCTGCATTTCCCTCTTCGGCACAGGGAAGCAGGAACAGCCCCATGGTCCCAGGCCAGATTCCTTTGCTAGGCAGGGGCTTCTGGTTGGGGGGTAGGCTTTGCTGCTGGGTCCTGCCACCAGCTTCCCCTGGATCTCTGACAAGCAGCCAGGAGCAAATAAATATTAATTTTCTAAATTTTTTAGGGGCCCCATGGGCTGGATACAATGGCCTGGCAGGCCAGATCCAGCCCCTAGGGCCATATTTTGCCCACCCCTGTTGTAGATCATCAGGTCCAGTCCCCCTACACTAGGCAGAAAAAGACGACTGGTAGATGCGATCTCTTTTATTAGACTAACTCAAATAGTTGGAAACATTTTTCTTTGCAAGCTTTCGGGTTTAAAAACGCTTTGGCCAGCCAAGAAAGCAACATCTGCAGTTGGCGCACACCTTCCCAGATGGAAAGAAGCCCGAGGCTGGTGTGCATGCACCACCTAAACAGTCACATGCTTCCCTCTACAGGTTTCCCTGGCTTTATGCTGTACACGTGATCCTGGAAAATGGTGCATAACTCCAATTCACATGAAGGGAACCCACTTTGCAATGTAACAAATAGGGATATGTTCCAAGACCTCGACTGTACTGACCCCCAGGCCCATTTCTGTCACTTTCACAAGACAATTTTGGTACTCCCCAAGAGCAGACAGTACACACAAGCGCAGGGTGGTGGCAAATGTTATAATGGGGATGGTAACTACACAAACACGTGTCGCAGACAAGGAGCACAGATCCACACAGGAGACTATACAGGCAGTCTTCGACTTACAGACTTACAACGTTTTGCACATACAACCTTTATAAATTGACACCTTTTCAACTTTCTGACATCAGTTTCAACTTTGACGTTACTTTCGACTTTACAACGCTTGATCCAATGCCACGCCATGCCAGTGAACAAGTCATTGCATCACCCATCTCCCTGGAGAACATCTGTCCAGGCTTCCTTGGACACTTTTTTTAAGAAAACAGACAAGACTCCAGAAAACCTGCAGGCAGGACTCATGAGAAGACTCCAACCAAGAGCCCTTCAAAAAGTCCAACCAAAAGCCTTTCAAAAAGTCCAGTAAAGTCACCTCAAAGAAGCCATTTCAAATCAATATGATTGCTACTTACAATAGAAATACATTAATGTTGCTATATTACTCATCTAGAATTGACCAACTACAAAATTCTGGGTTATTTTTGGTGAAAACATGGTATCGGACCTCGGTTCAGGAACCAAACCCCCATTTATAACATTGTTTCCTATGGGAAAAATCGGCTCTGAGTGACAATGCTTCCACCTGACCAAAGGCGCGTTTTTTTAGGAACCAGCTGCACCGTAAGTCCAAGCGCCACCAGCATTTCAACACGCGTCATCCCACTGCGCACCGCGCAAAGCCGCTGACTGCAGGCTTCCACCGCACCCATCCCCAAAGAGTGAATTGACCTTGCTTATCATGAATTTTTGGTATGAAAAGAGTCATCGATTCATAGGATAAGATTCATAGCTCATAGAATAAAATTAATATTCATAAGATAAGGTTCATAGATTCATAGGGTAAAATTAATAGATTAATAGAAAAAGATTCATAGATTTATAGGATAAAATTCATAGATTCACAGGATAAGAGTCATGGATTCAGAGGATAAAATTAACAGATGAACAGAATAAGATTCATAGCTCATAGAAAAAAGATTCATAGATTGACAGGATAAAATTCATAGAAGAATAGAAAAAGATTCATAGATTCACAGAATAAAATTAATAGGTTCATAGGATAAAATTAGCATGAATAGAAAAACTTCCATAGATTCATAGAATAAGATTCATAGCTCATAGAATAAAATTCATAGATTCATAGGATAAAATTAATAGATTAATAGAAAAAAATTCATAGATACATAGGATAAAATTAAGTTTAACAAAAAATTCATAGAGTCATAGGATAAAATTCATAGATTCATAGAAAAAGATTCATAAATGCATAGGATACAATGCATAGATGACTAGAATACAGTGAACAGATCCCTAGCTCAAGGCCGACAGGCTCAGGGTCAGCGCGGCAGACGCGGGCGCGGGGCTGCGGTATAAGGCGGAGCGCGCCCCCCCTCCCTCTCTCCCTTCCTGCGCACGTGGGCCCCTGGCCGCGCCCC